AGAGAGAGAGAGAGAGAGACAGACAGAGAAAGAGAGAGAGAGAGAGAGAGAGAGAGAGGCAGAGGAGGGCGGCTGCTCTTTGAGAATGCCGGCGGGAGCGCGCGCGCGTGCACTGCTCCTCCTCACCTGTAGCCTGCTCCTCTGAGCGCGGCTCTGTGTGTGTGCGCGGATTTAAACTCCTCCATCTTCACTCTTCAAGCTTCATATGATCGTGTAACTGATGTAGAGCAGCGCAGGAAGAGCTCGCAGCATCTGCAACTCAGTTCGGGACTTGACTGGATCAGAACAGAACTTTCCCCTCCAGAACCCGCGTCAGGTAAGCTCAACAGAACAGAAGGAACACTTTCACTGAGTTTATACAGAGCTTATATTCGCTTTAATACTCACTGGAGTCTGCAAACTCCTCCACTGTCTGACGAGTGGCCGAATCTCCGTCTGCAGAACTTCAAGAGACTTTCATCACAGTCCTATTATTATTATTATTATCATTATTATTATTATTATTATCTTTATTATTATTATCTTTATTATTATTATTATATTGTTATTGTTGTTGTTATTGTTGTTATCCGCCGTCTGCTTGTGTAAGTGTTGTTGTTGACAGGAAAGGCTCTAGTAAACTTTCCTCTGTGTTTCTCTGTCTGAGGCTGGGCTGAAAGCAATGCTCCAGGGTTAAAGCTGAGTTACATCCGTGATTTAAACTAGTGTTTCCACAAAAACAGCAGATATTCTGGTCTGAAATGGTATTTGTGCAGGAGCTGAAGCAGTTCTCTGTGCTGGAGGGATGATCAGTGAAGAGAAACATGTTCATCTGCGTGATTATGAGTTATAATAGAGACTCACTGAAGATTAAACAGAGGAGCAGATATTCCCACAAGCCCGACACTAACACAGCATCTGACCCTGAGATCAGTGACCCAGCAGAGGAAATCTGCCTAATTTTGCTGAACATGTGTCCCTGTAGTGCACTTCACAAATTACATTTATACAATACTTAAAAACTGCGCAAAATAATATAATAATATTAATATAATAATAATAATAATAATAATAATAACAAATATAATAATAATAATAATAAAATAATAATAACATAATAATAATAATAATGTAATAACAATAATATAATAATAATAACAATAATATAGTAATAATAATAATAATAACAATAATATAGTAATAATAATAATAATATAATAATACAACAATAATAATATAATAATAATAATAATATAATAATAATATAATAATAATAATAAGATAATAATAATAATAAGATAATAATAATAGTGAAATAAGAGGTCTGTCAAGTGTTCTAGAAATATTAGAAATTAGAGATATTTTAAATCTCAGTCTGTCCCAGAGAGGCTCATCAGTGATGCAGAACATGACTCAGTGTGTTTGAGCTTTATTTCATCATCACAGGAGAAATCTGCATGTGTTTATGGAGAGGTGTCGTCAGATATAATTCAGGTAATCGCTGTTAATTTAATGTAATTACTGTAGAGATCTGCTGCTGTATTCTACAGACTCATTCTCACTCATATGTGGACAACATAAATTATTAATTCAACATTAAACTATTTCCAGTTTATGCACAGCAGATGGAGTCAGACATGCTTGAGTACAGCAGCCGTGTCTGATCATCTGGACTCTCCTGTTTTCAGTCGGGGCTAATGTGAACTGGGCTTTGCTGCTGAACTATATTGATAATACAGTATAGAATTATAACATATTATTATCATATATATATATATAATTATACAGATGTAATTGTATTAATTATAAAATAATGCTTCGAGAGCAGCAGCAGGAGTGCATGAGGAGCAGATTGTTGAGTGTGTATGAGCAGGCGGTCAGGGTCTCAGATATATCTGACCACTTTAATCATGATCAAGTCCTCTGAAGCGTCCCTGATGAAGAATAATCTGATGAGGATATCTGGAGTAATAGTACAGGACTGATGTTATTCCTCAGAACTCAGATCTCGGTGAGTGGTCATGTGACCCGTCAGTCAGAGTATCACCATCCGCCTTACCGGCAGCTTAGCAACCCCTCAGGACAGTTTAGCAGAGCGCTGCCCAAACCCTAACCCTCAGTGTCCTGCAGAGTTTAGCTCCAGCCCCAGTCAGAGATGAAGGTGTGTGAGCTGTCACCGGGGTGGTGCCTTTTCAAAAGGTGCACATTTGTACTTAAAGGGTCCATATTGGTACCTCAAAAGTGTATATCAGTACCTACACATGTCAAGAGGAACTCTTTTCTACTTTTTACGCACTAACATGTACCCCTGAGGTATTGATGTGGATCTTCAGGGGACAGATGTGTACCTCTTGATAAGGCATCGCCCCAGTGCAGCGCACACGCCTTTATCTCTGAGAGTGTGGGCTAGCTGCTGGAGCTCTCACCGGGCTTTCCAGAACCATCTGTGCAGGTGTGCAGAGCCTCCAGCACTGAGTTTGAACACCCCTGCCCTAGCAACTGCCTAGTAATGCCTTAGAAACCGCTTAGCATCCACTCAGAGCAGCCTAGCAACACCTTAACAACAGCCTCGAGTGCTGTGAGTGAGGCAGAGCTGACCCTGGATCAGTTTTCCTCCACTGTGTGCTGCTGGTTCATCAGAGCTGTGCTGATTCAGGAGGTGGAGGAGCTTTAGTGAGGATATGTTCTCAGAGTCTCCTTATAAACACACTGAGTTATTATTCAGACACATCCCATTGCAGAGTCTTTATCTGGGTTTATCTGCGGGATTGGACGTCTCCCCGCTGTTCTAGAGTCAGCCACGTGCACCTAACACACAATAACACTGACCAATACACACATCACTATAAACACAGCCTTCCCTGAGCCTCTCCAAACTACAGCAACACTTCTGTAGACACACACACACACACACACACACACACACACACCACACACACACACACACACTGTGAAATAAACTGTGAATCTGTGTGTCGTGCGCAGCTGTGTAATAGAGTGTTCATCATCTGCAGATCAGCGGAGACTCCAGGACTCCGTATCCTGACAGAGTGTGTGTGTGTGTGTGTGTGTGTGTGTGTGTGTGTGGTTTATCAGTAAAGTTCAGAGCATTCCCTCAGTGGTGTGTG